GTTACAGGCCGCGCCGCGGTGTTACGGGCGCGCTGTAGTGTGACGGGCTCCAGGCAGAATGGTCGATCCTCACAGAGCGTGCGATGCGATGCGATGCGCTGCGTTTCCGTATTTTTCGAGTTTTCGACCGGGTCTGCCAGTGCTGTAGGCTATACCCTACAGCATATACTAAAAGCATGTAAACGTCGGAGACTTTGGAGGGCCCCCGTAATAGTTAGCCGAGAGTCCGTAACTCGAGGACCCAAACTACCTATATGTAAGTGAACAGGGGGGGTCTGACCCCCCCTGTTCACTTACATATAGACGAAAAGGTCGATTTTATGGCCTCTGTGATGAAATCCTCGGGATTTCTTGGCGAGAACACTTTCGGAAACATCGCATGCGTTTCTTTTCGTCTATGTGTAAGTGAATCGCATCGACCTTTTCGTCTATGTGTAAGTGGACAGCGGGTGTGTGACCCCTACTTTTGGTCCTCGAGCTACCGATTCTCGGCTAGCTAACACTGGGGCCCTCCGAAGTCTCCGACTTTTACATGCTTTTAGTATATGCTGTAGGGTATAGTCTACGGCATTGGTAAACCCGGCCGTAGGCTCGAAAAATACGGAAACGCAGCGCATCGCATCGCATCGCATCGCACGCTCTGTGAGGATCGACCATAAAGCCCACGTTGAGCCACGGCCTAACGTCACAACCCGAGCCAACCTACCTGCGGTTAGGCGCAACCCTACGCGTGCTCTTATTGGTCAGTGTTTTTAATTAATAATTCAAAAACCATGGCTCACTTTATATTTTATCAAAGGAAATTGTTGTTCAGGAACACCTTCAGAATGACTCCTTTTCTGGGTCACCCTGTATAATGAAACCGCGTAAAGCGGAAATCTTGAATTTTTTTTAAATTACACTCCATCGGTGGTCGTGGCGCGTTCGCGATTCTCTGAATCTTCCAAGATAGTAAAATAACTCGATGGAATTCGTAGAACGCGGCCGCGCGAAATCTCGATCCGAGCCGTGGGTTTTCGCGGGATTACCAAGCGCCGAAAAGGAATTCTATCGGCGTGTCCTTCGTCCTCTTTGCGCAGCCAGAAGGCGCGGTTGGAATTCCATTACGGAATTCCTCCCAGGCAACACCGACAAGATCTGACGTAATCATTCGCTAAAACCCGCTGGCCGTTATCGAGATATTCCTTCGATGATCTTATATAATTTTTTCTCACTCGGTCACACGCATCTTCGAATATTCATATTGTAAGATTTACCAAAAATCTAACTGTAAAATGAAGAGGGTGGCGAACGGTTTAAATAAAAATTCGTGGGCGTAACAAAAATACTTGATATCGTCAACTCTCGTATTTATTCTCGATGTCTCAACACTAGGACGGCTGTACCAAGAGTGCCTCTTTGGTCAAACCTTTCGGTTGTCCTAGGACCTCCCCCATCGCCAGTCTGACCTTCGTTCTACGTTTTATGGGTCTTTGTCAAGTCGCATACCCTTGAAAGGCCTGTGTCGTTGGACACAGTCACCCCTACTCTTCTACGCGTTTTCGAATTTTCTTACATATACGATTTCCTACAAAACGTATAGAACAAAAATCGTAAAATAAACCTTTGAGATAAAAAAGTTGTTGTAAGAAGAACGAGAGATTAGTGAGGACGGGGAGCGAATTGAAATAGTTGGATTGGACGGAAGGTTAAGTGGGCAGCAACGAAACAGGAAGGAAATTCATAGGAAACAAATGGTAAGTGATTAAACGCGTTGAGAGTTCGGAACACGGCTCGAACTCGATGGCTGTCGTGTTCCGGTTATTACCGGCGGATTTACCGGGGCTGGAAGGTTGTTAGTTCCTATTACGAGGTGGTCGCGAGTCGAAACTGGCTCTCGCGCGGAGAGAAAGGGTTTGAGTGTTCGTTAAATATTCCGACGTACCTACGCTGAAGTGTAACTCTTTGTGCCCGCGGCCGTGTTTATTTTCTAAACACCCGCCGAACGGCGACCAACTATTTTCGTTAATTGTTAATCCGTATGGCAAACAGCTCCGGCAAATACGCGACGATACGCTATTAATTCCGTGAGTACACGTTATCTCAGAAAATGTCTTATCGTGAGAATTGCTTCCGTTTCTATACGCACGAAGACACGAACGATTCAATTTTATACTTCGAAACTACGAGAACGGAACTTCCTAACGAATTATTGAAATTGCGTTTGATCCCGAGCGAAGGTCAAATATTAATTAAAACTTGACCGTCCCGACTGGCGGTGAACTCTCGGCCTCGGTCAGATCGCGATGACACGTGGACACAAAATTATGAGCATGAAAATCGGCCACTTACGATAGAAAAGAACGTGTCCTCTCAAGAATCAAACTTTCCAGGTATCAAGAAACAATGCGCATTCCACGTTTCTATATCTATGGGAGT